CTGCCACTTTAAAATGGTAGAGGCTTATTAATTATCAGTGCTACAATGCACAATATAGTCAAGAAGAAACAATCAGCAGGAAAAATGACAAGCACCTTATATCAAATGATGCTATTTTTTGTAAGGGGCTGTTAAAAAAAAGTTGATAGTAATAGACTCTAAAGGCTAAAGAATTAATCCTCTTCTCTCAAAGTTGCAAACAAGCCAACATTTAAAGTTTTTGGAGGTTTTCTCTTCACTCTTATGAAACAAAATAAAATAATGAATGATTAAAGTCATAATACCATGAGTTAAACAATTCACAAACTAATCCATAAAATGGAGATAAAGCCATGAAACTTGCTACATGATAATAGTTCAGAATGAACTGAGATGCCATCTAGTATGATTTGTAGTTTGTAGATTAGTTGTGAATGAACCATTACCAACAGGTACAGTAGCTTAAACTGGAGTTTCAGAAAATACATTCTTGCAATTAGCCTGATAAACATTTTTACCTTGCAGCATTCCACATGCCATAAGTACCACCTTAATTACCTTTATTTATAAATTTTCTTCTATTTAATTATAGTACACAATAAAGTACAGTAATTACTGGTAATGAACTGGAAAAACCTTGCCTTGCAAATATATGCACAATAAGCTGTGACATTATGTTAATGTTGCAGTTTAAAAACTGTAGTGTAAAGCACCCTTCTGGCAAGACAGTGATGGAGTGAATGATGGTGAAAGTTTTTCTTTTTCGGGCCACCCTGCCTTGGTGGGAATCGGCCAGTGTGATAATAATAATAAAAAAAAAAAAATTTCCAACACCGCCAATCTGCCACCGAGCACGGCCACTTGAAAAAGAAGAAAACCTTATAAAGCTTATCTTCTTTATCTTCTTCTTTCAACAAACTGGCCATATCCCACCAAGGCAGGGTGACCCAAAAAGAAAAACGAAAGTTTCTCTTTTGAACTTTAGTAATCTTAAGTTAATTTTAAGCCAGCCCGTAATGCTATGCATATAAGTGGCTTTGGCATGCTGCTCTTACCTGTATTTTTTGTACCTCTGTAAGTATGCTTAAATTACTAAATAAATAAATAAATAAATGTATACAGAAGGGGTTACCAGCCCCTTGCTCCTGGCATTTTAGTCACCTCTTATGACATGCATGGCTTATGGAGGAAAGATTCTTATCCATGTATACTGTATCTTCAAATCCATTAATACCTTTTCTTTGATAACACTGATTTATAGCAGTCATTTTTATTTACTGAATTTGAAGTGAAAATGTTTAAAGACAACAAATTTAATATTTTAAATCAAGTTAGTATTTTGTATTCCTGCCTATATTAATTTTTTTTTTTTTAATAGGAATTTGAGAGCTTTGCTTTATAAGGCCCGGTGGCCTGGTGGCTAAAGCTCCCGCTTCACACACGGAGGGCCCGAGTTCGATTCCCAGCGGGTGGAAACATTTCGACACGTTTCCTTACACCTGTTGTCCTGTTCACCTAGCAGCAAATAGGTACCTGGGTGTTAGTCGACTGGTGTGGGTCGCATCCTGGGGGACAAGATTAAGGACCCCAATGGAAATAAGTTAGACAGTCCTTGATGACACACTGACTTTCTTGGGTTATCCTGGGTGGCTAACCCTCCGGGGTTAAAAATCCAAACGAAATCTTATCTTATCTTACCAGCTACTAGAGCATAATTACAAATACACTTAAAATACTGTACTATTGTAACAAAATTTATATCAATGCCAATGTTTTTAAATATACCCCTATTTATAAATAACAAAATGTCAATAAGGTACAGTAAACTCTTCATTTACCTGGAGAGAGTTCCAGGGGTCAATGCCCCCGCAGCCCAATCTGTGACCAGGCTTCATGGTGGATCAGGGCCTGATCAACCAAGCTGTTACTGCGGGCTGCACACAATCCAACATACGAGCCACAGCACGGTTGGTCAGGTACCGACGGACTTTAGAAATATATAATGAAATCTGGTGGGTCAATAGATTTGGAAACAATGGACAAAGTCCTTAGGTCACATAACTGATCAGTTACAATCACTACAAAAGAATCTATTCTTTATCCACCACAAATCCCATAATGGGCCACCTGCTCCCCCCTTCCTCCCTAAATAGTCCATTAAATAGAGGGTTTAATCTATCAATAAAATTAATTTTACACAATGCAAATTACTAATATGTTCCTTTCTATCAAGACAGGTACTGAAATGTATAGCATGGGGGTATTGGTAGTAATGTTTGGCTGCCCCTTTGTGAAGTAAAAGCCTCATATCTGTCCATGAAACATTTACAATTTGTATGTAAATGATGCAATTTTATTATTATATTATTATTATCACACCGGCCGATTCTCACCAAGGCAGGGTGGCCCGAAAAAGAAAAACTTTCACCATCATTCACTCCATCACTGTCTTGCCAGAAGGGTGCTTTACACTACAGTTTTTAAACTGCAACATTAACACCCCTCCTTCAGAGTGCAGGCACTGTACTTCCCATCTCCAGGACTCAAGTCCGGCCTGCCGGTTTCCCTGAACCCCTTCATAAATGTTACTTTGCTCACACTCCAACAGCACGTCAAGTATTAAAAACCATTTGTCTCCATTCACTCCTATCAAACACGCTCACGCATGCCTGCTGGAAGTCCAAGCCCTCGCACACAAAACCTCCTTTACCCCTCCCTCCAACCTTTCCTAGGCCGACCCCTACCCCGCCTTCCTTCCACAAACAGACTGATACACTCTTGAAGTTATCTGTTTCGCTCCTTCTCTCCACATGTCCGAACCACCTCAACAACCTTCCTCAGCCCTCTGGACAACAGTTTTGGTAATCCGCACTCCTCCTAACTTCCAAACTACGAATTCTCTGCATTATATTCACACCACACATTGCTCTCAGACATGACATCTCCACTGCTCCAGCCTTCTCCTCGCTGCAACATTCATCACCCATGCTTCACACCCATATAAGAGCGTGGTAAAAACTATACTCTCATACATTCCCCTCTTTCCCTCCAAGGACAAAGTTCTTTGTCTCCACAGACTCCTAAGTGCCACTCACCCTTTTCCCCTCATCAATTCTATGATTCACCTCATCTTTCATAGACCCATCCGCTGACATGTCCACTCCCAAATATTGAATACATTCACCTCCTCCATACTCTCTCCCCAATCTGATATCCAATCTTTCATCACCTAATCTTTTTGTTTATCCTCATAACCTTACTCTTTCCTGTATTCACTTTCAATTTTCTTCTTTTGCACACCCTACCAAATTCATCCACCAATCTCTGCAACTTCTCTTCAGAATCTCCAAGAGCACAGTGTCTCAGCAAAGAGCAACTGTGACAACTCCACTTTATGTGTGATTCTTTATCTTTTAACTCCAAGCCTTTGCCAAGACCCTCGCATTTACTTCTCTTACAACCCCATCTATAAATATATTAAACAACCACGGTGATATCACACATCCTTGTCTAAGGCCTACTTTTACTGGGAAATAATTTCCCTTTTTCCTACATACTCTAACTTGAGCCTCACTATCCTCGTAAAAAACTCTTCACTGCTTTCAGTAACCTACGTCCTACACCATACACCTGCAACATCTGCCACATTGCCCCCCTATCCACCCTGTCATACACCTTTTCCAAATCCATAAATGCCACAAAGACCTCTTTAGCCTTATCTAAATACTGTTCACTTATATGTTTCACTGTAAACACCTGGTCCACACACCCCCTACCTTTCCTAAAGCTCCTTGTTCATCTGCTATCCTATTCTCCGTCTTACTCTTAATTCTTTCAATAATAACTCTACCATACACTTTGCCCGGTATACTCAACAGACTTATCCCCTATAATTTTTGCACTCTCTTTTATCCCTTTGCCTTTATACAAAGGAACTATGCATGCTCTCTGCCAATCCCTAGGTACCTTACCCTCTTCCATACATTTATTAAATAATTGCACCAACCACTCCAAAACTATATCCCACCTGCTTTAACATTTCTATCTTTATCCCATCAATCCCGGCTGCCTTACCCCCTTTCATTTTACCTACTGCCTCACGAACTTCCCCCCCACTCACAACTGGCTCTTCCTCACTCCTACAAGATGTTGTTCCTCCTTGCCCTATACACGAAATCACAGCTTCCCTATCTTCATCAACATTTAACAATTCCTCAAAATATTCCCTCCATCTTCCCAATACCTCTAACTCTCCATTTAATAACTCTCCTCTCCTATTTTTAACTTGAGTCCTGGAAATGGGAAGTACAATGCCTGCACTTTAAAGGAGGGGTTTGGGATATTGGCAGTTTGGAGGGATATGTTGTGCATCTTTATACGTATATGCTTCTAAGCTGTTGTATTCTGAGCACCTCTGCAAAAGCAGTGATAATGTGTGAGTGTGGTGAAAGTGTTGAATGATGATGAAAGTATTTTCTTTTTGGAGATTTTCTTTCTTTTTTGGGTCACCCTGCCTCGGTGGGAGACGACCGACTTGTTGAAAAAAAAAAAAAAAAAAATCCATTTGTTCTCTAGGCTTTCTTAACTTGTTAATCTCACTCCAAAACTTTTTCTTATTTTCAACAAAATTTGTTGATAACATCTCACCCACTCTCTCATTTGCTCTCTTTTTACATTGCTTCACCACTCTCTTAACCTCTCTCTTTTTCTCCATATACTCTTCCCTCCTTGCATCACTTCTACTTTGTAAAAACTTCTCATATGCTAACTTTTTCTCCCTTACTACTCTCTTCACATCATCATTCCACCAATCGCTCCTCTTCCCTCCCGCACCCACTTTCCTGTAACCACAAACTTCTGCTGAACACTCTAACACTACATTTTTAAACCTTACCCCATACCTCTTCGACCCATTGCCTATGCTCTCATTAGCCCATCTATCCTCCAATAGCTGTTTTATATCTTACCCCAACTGCCTCCTCTTTTAGTTTATAAACCTTCACCTCTCTCTTCCCTGATGCTTCTATTCTCCTTGTTTTCCCATCTACCTTTTACTCTCAGTGTAGCTACAACTAGAAAGTGATCTGATATATCTGTGGCCCCTCTATAAACATGTACATCCAGAAGTCTACTCAACAGTCTTTTATTTACCAATACATAATCCAACAAACTACTGTCATTTCGCCCTACATCTTGTATACTTATTTATCCTCTTTTTCTTAAAATATGTATTACCTATAACTAAACCCCTTTCTATACAAAGTTCAATCAAAGGGCTCCCATTATCATTTACACCTGGCACCCCAAACTTACCTACCACACCCTCTCTAAAAGTTTCTCCTGCTTTAGCATTCAGGTCCCCTACCACAATTACTCTCTCACTTGGTTCAAAGGCTCCTATACATTCACTTAACATCTCCCAAAATCTCTCTCTCTCCTCTGCATTCCTCTCTTCTCCGGTGCATACACGCTTATTATGACCCACTTCTCGCATCCAACCTTTACTTTAATCCACATAATTCTTGCATTTACACATTCATATTCTCTTTTCTCCTTCCATAACTGATCATTTAACATTACTGCTACCCCTTCCTTTGCTCTAACTCTCTCAGATACTCCAGATTTAATCCCATTTATTTCCCCCCACCGAAACTCCCCTACCCCCTTCAGCTTTGTTTCGCTTAGGGCCAGGACATCCAACTTCTTTTCATTCATAACATCAGCAATCATCTGTTTCTTGTCATCCGCACTACATCCACGCACATTTAAGCATCCCAGTTTTATAAAGTTTTTCTTCTTCTCTTTTTTAGTAAATGTCTACAGGAGAAGGGGTTACTAGCCCATTGCGACAATTTCTGCAGGTATCATGCAAGTCTCTAAAGCATACGTAAATATGTACCAGAGGCAAATATTGCAGCATACTGTACAAGTCAAAGGTTTAAAACAATGGCATATGAAAATCAGAGCCTAATCCTAATGACTGTGCTTCTGACCAAATTATGAAAACAAATATTTTGAAGGAAACAAAGAAAAGAGAAAAGTGCTGTGTGAGCATGCTTGATGTGAGTTTAGGAAAGCCGTTTGGGGGAATTTTTATACTGTTGGGGTTGTGAGCATGATAACATCTGTGAAGGGAGTCACAGACAGTGTTGAGGTGGACTTGAATTCTGGAGGTGGGATATACAGTGCCTGCAGTTTGAAGAATGGGTATGGATGCTATGGCTCACTGGATTATTTAAATCATTATATCCATGCAAGTCATGAAAGACAGCTAGAGAGTGAATGTGAATGTATTTTCCTCCTTAAGATCACTCTACCTTAGTGGTAAATTTCTTGGTTAAAAGAAATTTTACATGTACATAAATATTTAACAACGATGATTTGGCTTTAATAACTTTTAATTAGGAACACAATCAATAGCTTACTATTTACTACATTGGAACCTATTTTATCATAGCAAAGATCTGCATTAATTTTCTGCATAACTGTAAATATATATTTAGCTGCAATTACACAACAAATATATCATCTTACTATAATAAACTCGCAGTACTTGTCAACATGACTTACGAGTATAGCAATATGTATAATTTTTTTTATATATGTAACTATAAAAGTTTTGGACAGATTTATGCAGCTGCAGTAAAAGTTTTTCTGTACAAGTTACACACAGAAAATAAAGTTACATCTTGTTTTAAACTTTTTCCTACAAGTATATGTTAAGAAAGCTCATCAGTATTGAACAAAAATGAAGAACGGTGGAAGTATGCACTGAAAAAGATGTAATAATTTTAAACAAACGTAGAACATGCAATCTACTTCCAATGAAATGAAAGCATACGGAAATACAATTTAGCCAATAACTGTTGAGATACACTGAATCACCACCTTGTAGGTCAATACACATTACTGAGAAATATAATTTTACCAAAGTGTTAAGAGTCTCGGGGTATTCCTTCTTAGGCAAATATATTGTCATATTCTTCGCTGGTAAGTATGAACCCAACTTTCTGGGCAACCCTCTTGCAACCAGTGGTGGAGAATAATTTATTCTCTGGAGGAAAGTATGTCATTTCACCTGCAACTTTTCTGTAAAGAAAAAGCAATTTGGAGAAATTTATATGCAAGTCAGAGGATGAAATGATTACTGAATTAATAAAAACTTTGACTTTATTAATAGTGGTTTTACTATCATGTACTTTCACTTTCAAGAGGTGATTGAATAATTATAACTATAATTATGAGTCTACTAGCAATGTCTATATCACTATCTTGTTCCTTCTGGAGGCTTCCTAGAAAGAAGAGTGACCACAGAAAAAAAAATCTTCTGGCAGCCCAATTGAAACATGATCTTTTGGTCCTTTGTATATACCTTATGATGTCATTCCAAGATGAGTGAGATGAACATTCTCATCTCATTATTATTATTTTATTATTACTATTTTTTTAACACATTGGCCATTTTCGACTGAGGCAGGGTGATCCAAAAAGAAAGAAAAAACTTTCATCATTAAACACTTTCACCATCACTCATACATAATCACTGTCTTTGCAGAGGTGCTCAGACATGACAGTTTAGAAGTTCCTCCAAACTGCCAATATTCCAAACCTCCTTCGAAGTGCAGGCATTGTACTTCCCATTTCCAGGACTCAAGTCCAGCTAACTGGTTTCCCTGAATCCCTTCACAAAATATTATTATTATTATTATTTCAATGCACCAGCCATATCCCACCGAAGCAGAATGAGCCAAAAAAAAAAAAACTGAAGTTTTTCCTTTTAAATTTAGTACGTAATTTATACAGGAGAAGGGGTTACTAATCCCATGCTCACATTATTATAATCAGGGAAGTGCCAAACCCACTGGGGTTATACAGCACATGAAAAAATGAGTGAACAGGTTTAGTCTAAGAAAAGGGAGGACAGGTCCATCTCCCTGGATCAAGAGCCCTCACCAATATCAAGGGACATTCCTTGGCATGTTCTATCTTTCATTTTCCTGAAAACTGGTACAATGGTTGGTTTTGTGTATTACCCAAGGGTTGTTCTTGTTCAAAAAACCCAGATTTTTTTTTGTAAAGGCTATTTTAATCACCCTTCAAGAAGGGACTGTGATTATGGTGAGGGCCTTTTGATCTGAGGAATTGAAGCTTCCATTTACCACCCATTCCCAGTGGCTATGTGATTTCTATGACCTTATCAGTTTCTCAATCAACAATAATAACTTTTTTAACACCAGCTGTCTCCCACTGAGGCAAGGTGACCCAAAAGAAGAAACACAAGTTTTTCTTCTTTTTACATTTAGTAATTTATACAGAAGGGGTTACTAGCCCCTTACTCCCAGCATTTTAGTCATCTCTTACAAGACACATGACTTACTGAGGAAGGACTCTTTTCCACTTCCCCATGGAGACATAATAATAATATTAGATTAATATGATCCATAAGTTGAAGTTACAGCAAAGGCCCTCTTAAAGAACACTTACCATTATATAAAAATATATAGGGGGGTAATGTGGCAGATGTTGCAGGTGTATGGTGTAGGAGGTAGGTTACTGAAAGCAGTGAAGAGTTTTTACGAGGATAGTGAGGCTCAAGTTAGAGTATGTAGGAAAGAGGGAGATTATTTAACAGTAAAAGTAGGCCTTAGACAAGGATGTGTGATGCCACCGTGGTTGTTCAATATATTTATAGAGAGAGTTGTAAGAGAAGTAAATGCGAGGGTCTTGGCAAGAGGCGTGGAGTTAAAAGATAAAGAATCACACACAAAGTGGGAGTTGTCACAGTTGCTTTTTGCTGATGACACTGTGCTCTTGGGAGATTCTGAAGAGAAGCTGCAGAGGTTGGTGGATGAATTTGGTAGGGTATGTAAAAGAAGAAAATTTATAATGAATACAGGAAAGAGTAAGGTTATGAGGATAACAAGAAGATTAGATGATGAAAGATTGGATATCAGACTGGAGGGAGAGAGTATGGAGGAGGTGAATGTATTCAGATATTTGGGAGTGGACGTGTCAGTGGATGGGTCTATGAAAGATGAGGTGAATCATAGAATTGATGAGGGGAAAAGGGGTGAGCGGTGCACTTAGGAGTCTGTGGAGACAAAGAACTTTGTCCTTGGAAGCAAAGAGGGGAATGTATGAGAGTATAGTTTTACCAACACTCTTATATGAGTGTGAAGCATGGGTGATGAATGTTGCAGCGAGGAGGAGGCTGGAGGCAGTGGAGATGTCATGTCTGAGGGCAATGTGTGGTGTGAATATAATGCAGAGAATTCGTAGTTTGGAAGTTAGGAGGAGGTGACATGTAGAGAGAATGGAACGAAACAGAATGACTTCAAGAGTATATCAATCTGTAGTGGAAGGAAGGCGGGGTAGGGGTCGGCCTAGGAAAGGTTGGAGGGAGGGGGTAAAGGAGGTTTTGTGTGCGAGGGGCTTGGATTTCCAGCAAGCATGCGTGAGCGTGTTTGATAGGAGTGAATGGAGACAAATGGATTTTAATACTTGACATGCTGTTGGAGTGTGAGCAAAGTAACATTTATGAAGGGATTCAGGGAAACCGGCAGGCTGGACTTGAGTCCTGGAGATGGGAAGTACAGTGCCTGCACTCTGAAGGAGGGGTGTTAATGTTGCAGTTTTATAAACTGTAGTGTAAAACACCCCTCTGGCAAGACAGTGATGGGGTGAATGATGGTGAAAGTTTTTCTTTTTCGGGCCACCCTGCCTTGGTGTGTTAATAAAAAAAAATACCAATAAAAAATGGAAAGAAGGACTGCTAAGCCTGACAGACATATCAAAATCTCCACAAGACAACTGGATGGTCAGATACCAAGAGTGTTTTCAAACAAGCAGGTTGGTGTGGTATACTTGGAGTATACCTAGAGAGAGTTTTGGGGGTCAATGCCCTGCAGCCCAGTCTGTGACCAGGCCTACCAGTTGATCTGGGCCTGATCAACCAGGCTGTTACTGCTACCCGCACACAAGCTGACGTACGAACCACAGCCACAAAGCAACACAGTACAGCATCAGTATAAAGGGAGGATGCAAGGTGCTCATCAAGCACCCTTTATGAGGATGCCTGGGAGAAGATGCCTTGATGCTGATGAAAAATTACTGATCCAAAGAATTGGAGCTCCCATCCAGCTCCTCAGAACAAACCTGAGGATGTTGCAGTTTGGAGGGTCATCCGAGCTGTGATATCAGCATGCTTCTGGCAAGACAGTAATTTAACGAATGATGGTTTTTTGTGGTCACCCTACCTCACTGAGAGATGGCCGTGCTAAAAAAAAAAAAAATCAACCTACTGTAACATCCTTCACTGAAAAGCACAAACAACAAATCAAACAGATTACAAAGGACAGATAATGCAAGACTTTAGGAAGTAAGAAACTCACTCTATTAACTCTTTAGTTGGCGTGTGTCCACGACGACGGATCTCGTCTCGAGCACAGAGTTCTATGTGATGTCTTTCTAGTGGCATGAAAGGTACATAATGATCAACCAGACAGTGTTGTATGAGCTCACTTTTGTGCAGACCACCTGAAAAAGAAATCAGAAATAATTTAATGAATATTATTAACCCTTTGGGGGTTTCGGCCGTACTAGTACGGCTCACGCACGCTGGTAGGCCTACATTTGAAAGAATGGGTCTATGTGGTCAGTGTGCACAGTAAAAAAAAAAAGAATCCTGCAGCACACAGTGCGTAATGAGAAAAAAAAAAAATTTGACCGTGTTTTTGGATTAAAACAGCGACTTTGCACTGTATTTTCATATGGTATTTATTGTTGTATTCTAGTTTTCTATGTCTCATTTTTATAGAATGGAAGACATATTACAGAAATTGAGATGATTTTGACTGGTTTTACAATGAAAAGTACCTTGAAATTGAGCTCAAAGTAGCAGAAATGTTAGATTTTTACCAAAGTTCAAAAGTAAACAAATCATGCTAAGTGTCCAATACACGTCAACTGGTGATTCTAATATTCTTTCACAAGTGCGCCAATATTATTTATACCATTTCTACACTAATGCAGTAGTCTGCATAACAGTAAATCTTATTTTTTTTTGTGAGAATAAAAAATCAAAGTGGAAAGCAAAAGAAATGTAAGAAGGGCCTGGGGACGTGAATAATGAACAGAGGAAGTGTTATTTTAGTGCCAGGAATGTCTTTCTTGTTTATTCTGGACCCTATTTGGAAATTGACATCTTTTGAAATTTGTGTGAAATTGGCAAAATTGCTAAATTCTGACCACTTTATTGGATAGTTGAAATCGGTAAATGGGTGGTTTCTTGTACTCATTCGATAGAAAAAAATGGAGTTCTAGCGAAATAGTTATGATTTTTATCGACTAGTACACTGGAATTGGCCGAAAATAGGGCTCAAAGTGGGCAAAATCGCTGATGCGTAAACATCGTCGAGACCGCTAACTTCGCGAGAGCATAATTCTGTAAGTTTTCCATCAAATTTCATACTTTTGGTGTCATTATGATCGGGAAAAGATTCTCTATCTTTTCATAAGAATTTTTCTTTTTTTTTTAAATTTTGGCGACCCTGAAAACAAGTCTCTGAGAGGGCCTGGCGACCCCCAAAGGGTTAATACATATAATTATTGGGAAGCGCTAAACCTGTAAGAGTCATACAGTGCTTGAGTAATGGAAGGCAATCAGGTTTGATCTAATAATATGGTTTATTGTTCCACTTCCTGTGAAAGGAAATAATATTATTTTCATAATCAGGGGGAAGTGCTAAACCCATAGGGTCATACAGAGCATGGGTAATGGGAGGCAAGCATGTTAGACTCAAGGAAAAGGAGGATAAGTCCACTTCCTTGGATTACAGGACCTTCACTGGCATCAAGGCATCTGTTAGGCAAAAGGTCACATGTGCAACAATACAAGGACATGGAGGGAATATATACCCTCCATGCCCTTGTACTGTCTGTAATGACTTGACAAAGTTCCCAAGAGCAAAACGTTGCCACAACAAAAATGTCACATTAGATGCACACGTATACTCCAGGTGTCCTTTAATCTAGCATATTGTTGGTAATTCTACCAACATTATTACAATCAAGGCATCTATTCAATGCCTTGAGAGACTGAACAGAAATGTTATAATGAATGTCTATGATCTACTGTAACATTGAAGTATAGTACTGTGCAGTTCAAGAAAGCTTACAGTGCAATGTTGTCTTATTCATTAACTGCATAGCCTTTATATGAAACATTACCACCCAGACTTTTGAAATTCTGCCTTATCTTTAATCATTAAGAAAAATCTATAGATAAACCCACTGCTTTTTAAAGCTGTTGTTTGGATTTTCCATTTTATTTTTCTCAGTTTTATGGATCAAATATACTGAAATAAAGTACAAAAATACTCACAATGATATGATTTACTGATCCAGGAAAATATATACGTACTTCCAGCAGCTCTCAGGTTTTTAAAACACACAACATTTTTTCCAGGTAATGACTCATATTAGTCGACTATCTCCCAGGTGCCTAGTTTACTGCAAGGCGAGTAGGTACAGCAGGTGTAAGGACACTTGGAAATAATTCCAAATGGACACCTAATGACTTAGTGCCAGCACAATTGGCTCATTGTTTGGTGGATGGAGATTTTGCACACGTTTTCTTACACTTGTTACCCCTGCTCACCTAGCATTAATTAGGGACCTTGGTGTTAGTCATAAGGCCTCGTGGCCTGGTGGCTAAAGCTCTCACTTCACACGACGAGGGTCTGGGTTCAATTCTTGGTGAGGGTAGAAACACTGGATGTGTTTCTTTACACAGGATGTCTATGTTCCCCATCAGTATAATGGGTACCTGGGTGTTAGTTGACTGGTGTGGGTCACATCCAGGGACAAAACTGACCTAATTTGCCCAAAAGGCTCTGTATAACAAGCGGAATTTTCTATGAAGCAGTATGTCATTGATGTCAGCTAGGCTACAGTATATACCTTGTACATGTAGAAATAAGGATAATATTATTATTACTTGTAGGTAGTAGGTTGGTAGACAGCAACCACCCAGGGAAGTACTACCGTCCTGCCAGATGACTGTGAAACAAAAACCTGTAACTGTTTTGCATGATGGTAGGATTGCTGGTTTCTTTTTCTGTCTCATAAACACGCTAAGATAACAGGGATATCTTGCTACTCCTACTTACACTTTGGTCACACTTCACAGACACGCACATGCATATATATATATACATACATCTAGGTTTTTCTCTTTTTTCTAAATAGCTCTTGTTCTTTTTTATTTTTTCTATTGTCCATGGGGAAGTGGAAAAGAATCTTTCCTCCGTAAGCCATGCGTGTCGTATGAGGCGACTAAAATGCCGGGGGGCAATGGGCTAGTAACCCCTTCTCCTGTATACAATTACTAAAAAAGAAGAAGAAAAAACTTTATAAAACTGGGTTGCTTAAATGTGCGTGGATGTAGTGCGGATGACAAGAAACAGATGATTGCTGATGTTATGAATGAAAAAAAGTTGGATGCCCTGGCCCTAAGCGAAACAAAGCTGAAGGGGGTAGGAGAGTTTCAGTGGGGGGAAATAAATGGGATTAAATCTGGAGTATCTGAGAGAGTTAGAGTAAAGGAAGGGGTAGCAGTAATTTTTAAATGATCAGTTAGAAGGAGAAAAGGGAATATGAATGTGTAAATTCAAGAATTATGTGGATTAAAGTAAAGGTTGGATGCGAGAGTGGGTCATAATAAGCGTGTATGCACCTGGAGAAGAGAGGAATGCAGAGGAGGGGGAGAGAGATTTTGGGAGATGTTAAGTGAATGTATAGGAGCCTTGAACCAAGGTGAGAGAGTAATTGTGGTAGGGGATTGAATGCTAAAGTAGGAGAAACTTTTAGAGAGGGTGTGGTAGGTAAGTTTGGGGTGCCGGTGTAAATGATAATGGGAAACCCTTTGATTGAACTTTGTATAGAAAGGGGTTTAGTATAGGTAATACATATTTTAAGAAAAAGAGGATAAATAAGTATAAAACGATATGATGTAGGGCGAATGACAGTAGTTTGTTGGATTATGTTTGGTTTGATAAAAGACTGTTGAGTTTGACTTCAGGAATGTACATGTTTATAGAGGGGCCACAGATATATCGATCACTTTCTAGTTGTAGCTATACTGAGGTAAAGGTTTGATGGGATACAAGGAGAATAGAAGCATCAGGGAAGAGAGAGGTGAAGGTTATAAACTAAAAGAGGAGGCAGTTAGGGTAAGATATAAACAGCTATTGGAGGATAGATGGGCTAATGAGAGCATAGGCAATGGGGTCGAAGAGGTATGGGGTAGGTTTAAAAATGTAGTGTTAGAGTGTTCAGCAGAAGTTTGTGGTTACAGGAAAGTGGGTGCAGGAGGGAAGAGGAGCGATTGGTGGATGATGATGTAAAGAGAGTAGTAAGGGAGAAAAAGTTAGCATATGAGAAGTTTTTACAAAGTAGAAGTGATGCAAGGAGGGAAGAGTATATGGAGAAAAAGAGAGAAGTTAAGAGAGTGGTGAAGCAATGTAAAAAGAGAGCAAATGAAGAGTGGGTGAGATGTTATCAACAAATTTTGTTGAAAATAAGAAAAAAGTTTTGGAGTGAGATTAACAAGTTAAGAAAGCCTAGAGAACAAATGGATTTGTCAGTTAAAAATAGGAGAGGAGAGTTATTAAATGGAGAGGTTAGAGGTATTGGGAAGATGGAAGGAATATTTTGAGGAATTGTTAAATGTTGATGAAGATAGGGAAGCTGTGATTTCGTGTATAGGGCAAGGAGGAATAACATCTTGTAGGAGTGAGGAAGAGCCAGTTGTGAGTGTGGGGGAAGTTCGTGAGGCAGTAGGTAAAATGAAAGGGGGTAAGGCAGCCGGATTGATGGGATAAAGATAGAAATGTTAAAAGCAGGTGGGGATATAGTTTTGGAGTGGTTGGTGCAATTATTTAATAAATGTATGGAAGAGGGTAAGGTACCTAGGGATTGGCAGAGAGCATGCATAGTTTCCTTTGTATAAAGGCAAAGGGGATAAAAGAGAGTGCAAAATTATAGGGGGATAAGTCTGTTGAGTGTACCTGGTAAAGTGTATGGTAGAGTTATAATTGAAAGAATTAAGAGTAAGACGGAGAGAAGGATAGCAGATGAACAAGGAGGCTTTAGGAAAGGTAGGGGGGTGTGTGGACCAGGTGTTTACAGTGAAACATATAAGTGAACAGTATTTAGATAAGGCTAAAGAGGTCTTTGTGGCATTTATGGATTTGGAAAAGGCGTATGACAGGGTGGATAGGGGGGCAATGTGGCAGATGTTGCAAGTGTATGGTGTAGGAGGTAGGTTACTGAAAGCAGTGAAGAGTTTTACGAGGATAGTGAGGCTCAAGTTAGAGTATGTAGGAAAGAGGGAAATTTTTTCCCAGTAAAAGTAGGCCTTAGACAAGGATGTGTGATGTCACCGTGGTTGTTTAATATATTTATAGATGGGGTTGTAAGAGAAGTAAATGCGAGGGTTTTGGCAAGAGGCGTGGAGTTAAAAGATAAAGAATCAC